CCATGAAATCGCTGGTTCACCTGGACTAGCTAAGAAAGGTGTTGGTGGTGGGAGATGAAATTCAGCCATCCTCGTCGCCAAAATGTGGTGTCGGGCCCAATAAACACGCAGACAACAGGTTCGGTATACAAGCAAGGTTTACTTGTGTGTAATAACTAACGGAACTCACAAAGTTGGCAGCCCTGTCCCAGAATCCCATCTGTTGCTAAGCAACCCAACTGATGGCGGGAATATGGCCATGCAAAGTACGGTATATGTTTATACTATTAATGCTCAGACACAACAGCTTCCATGCAGCCATTCATTATTGCCTTACAACATCAATGAACACAGAGGGCAGTATTGTGACTTGTCGCGAGTGTTCGTGTCAGCACAAGCCACAAGAGGCCGGTATTCTGATTAGTCCATCAAGTTCTCGTTCCTTGTTCTATTTCCTTTGATTTCCTGGCGTCAACGCTTGCGCTCGCGGTCGTTCTAATATGAAGCAGGCTTTCCCTTTACTCTCGTGAATATAAAACTTTCTTTTGTTACACAAAAAGCGAGAAATACTAGAACCATCTCAAACAGGAGGTCTAAGCAAGCAGAGTAAATGGGCATGACTTTATTTTGGTATTACAGACATGTTTGCGCAGAAAGAAACTTGGAATATTTTCAAATTACGTCACATAGTCACGTGCCTTTGGGTCGGAATCTCGGCCCAGTGGAACAATATGGCGTCCTACTCGCCAGGGACCTGCGACGTCAGAACAAAACTCCAAGCGATGGTATTCTCGGGAACGGGCAATCCGGGCATTTTTAATGGTACGAGTTCGCACGATATTATACAAAATAAATTGCTGAAATATTTCATAAAATTTATCTTGGAGAACTGCCCAAGTTAATGATTATTCTGCTTGCTCGTCGAGAACCCTTGAAGTGTTATTGTGAAACGTCCCGTGTGTTAATATGCAAATGATGCAAAGAGAGCAAGCTTAAACAAGAAAAGGGAAAAAATGATAAAAAATCGATTGCAAAACTAAATCAGGAAAGATAGAGAGGGTTGGGACAATTGGAGAACACTAAACACACTTCCGTTACTATTGACCAGGCATCGCATGTAATTAAATACAAAATACAGTAAATTTTCTGTCAATAGCGGGCGGTGTTCCAGATACAACAAAGGTCATACTTGATGAAGACAAATCCGACTTTTTTGTCACTAATTCCAAAGTTTGTTTTTTCGATTTTTTGATTTACTCATAAGCATCCCTAATTTTTTTAATTGGTTAATTTCTACAGTGTCGACAAAAGTTGATGCATCTGTTATATATAAGACCCAGTGACCTGCCGGTGTTTGTTCCACGTGAGAAGCCACACACGTTTACCATCGTCATGTTAGTGTTTTTAACGTCTATTTGGTTGTTTGAAAACAAATACAAATATTATTAATTCCAAAATAAAAAGTACATCGAGGCCAAACATGGAACAAACAGCCAGTTTCTTCACACCGGTCTCTTGTAGCATAGTGATTGTCGTATCAGACTCATGATCGGTAGACCGAAGTTCAAATCTTGCCTTAGGCTGAAAATCGAAAGGGTCGACCACTACCCTGGGTGAGTGTGCCACAGACTCAATGGGAAGGCCAATTCCACTGGCCGTGATTCATTCACTAACGAATGCGACCTTGGTTAAGGTCCGCAGGTACTTGTGTTCGACCGAGCCTGGTTGACGCCTTGATAGCGCATTAAAACTGCTGTTTGATAGAAAGATGGCCACACAGCCCTGTCATGTAGTCCCAAACAGGAAATTACTTCTGTGGCAAAATGTGTCAGCACTAGCACTTGCAATTTGCACTTATAAAAAAAAAAGTCAGGAGAGACAACAGTGACATTGAATGTCCGGAACTGTCGCCTGGCACAAAAACATTTAAAAAACACAAAAAAAAAAACACAGCAAGTTTGCTCACATCATCCTTTGTGGTCATTTAATTTGTGAAAGAAATTTGAGAATGATTTATTTGTTGTGGTTATTTTCAGTAGCTGGTAACCATAAAGAAAACATTTCATCACTGGTTACAGATATCAACTGTATTTCAACAAATTAAACATAAAATGTTCAAGTTCCTTTTGAACGACATAAATATACCGCTAAAATATTGGTGCAACATTTTGCAAATTACAATGTTTTCTATAATTTATAAATTTTGGATTAATAATTCCCCATTGCTAACTTGTCTATAAATATAACACAAAATCAAATCATATAGATTTTGGTAGTGACAGAAATTGTGTTTGGCGCTCAAAGAGTTTGAGTCAATGTAAGCATAGATAAAACCGTTACAGAATGTTCCAGCAGGGGTAATCACGTAATTACGAGTAGGATTAGAAAACATGACAGAGATGGATGCGGAAAGCAAAGAAGAAACCTATCGTTAACACGTGAACTGGGTATTACACGACAGAAGATGGGACAAGTGAGAAAAATCAAGTCAAATCTAGGAGTTTTAAATCGCCAGAAGCTGAAAGACAGGAAAAATCTCGGGTGAGATAGCCTAAGTCACGCCGTTTTGTAATTTACAAATACATAAAATTGACAATGCACAGTCACTCCGATAGATTGCATAATCATTTATCTTTGTTTGATTTTAATTCAGGGTATTTATTCAGAAGACAAATACAGCGATTACTGTATACTGAGATTGTAACTGTGTTTTTGATTGTTGACGTTTATTCTCATGTGTTGGCCCCAGGGCATGGTCTGTCTTCGTCATGTATGCTTGATTTGATCATATGAGCGGCTGCGTTTGTTGACATCAGGTCAAAAGATCTATAACGAAATGTCACGAAATTTATTCTAAACGTCCTTGCCAAAAGGGCAATTGTCCTTATTGTGTTGATGAACTACGTGACGTCACACGTGATATTTGCAACATATACTTTGTACATACACTTTATGATGACGGTTACTAAATGTGGTTACCATGTAACGGCCACGTACACCATTACAACGGGAGATATACACATTTGCATTCCAAGCAACGGGTTTAAAAGTAGCAAAGGCACGTGTTTATTGTTTTCTGTGATACAGGGATGTTTATTTCAAATTAAAACGAGATTAGTATTTCTCAAAAATTACGTCTAAAACACGCTACTATTTTTTGACATGATGGAACGCGGGGCCACCTCACATGGGAAATATGTACGTCCCTCAAATCACAGTGACATGTTCTCGGCGATGCAAGCGACTACGGTTTATTACGAACTTTGATATTACAGTGGTATGTGCAAATGCTACATACCGATCACTGATCGGAGACGTAAAACCAGACTTGTCTAGATGGTAGGTAATAACGCGTCATCTTACGTAAGCCGCCACATCCAGAGTCTGCAGGCAGAACGCAACACTGAAGTCTACTGAAGGCGAACATGTCGCAAATAAACTGGAGTTATCATGGAGAAACAGGTATATTAATCACTTTTAATAATTACGCAACGTTTTTTTTTATAATTCGGTTCAATGTACCTCAATAACACCAATTTCATTATCTACTATAATTACGCTATTATGGCACAATGAGTGTTACGCTGGGGTAGCGCGTCTGCCGTGATCGTGAATTCGTATATGCTGTCTCATGTTGTAATATATGTATGTTTGCATGTAAATTTATACAATCCACGCTATAAAGCGTTGCGGTTGAAAACGTGCCAAGCGATAAATTATTTTACATTACCAGTGGAACGTAGGTCCAAGCACAAGATCGAAACGCACTCTCACAACAAACCACTAATCGATTTTAATATATTCAACAGAAGTACAATGTCAAATTCATGTTTAGGAAACCAAGACCACTTCAACCACGGACTAGTCTTTCGAAACGTTGTGTGCATTGAAGTGCGTATTGATTCGTGAGCGTACAAAACTGTCTTGTCATAATCGGAGAATTTTTGGTCCACAAATTCTCGTTGATTGTTTTTCAATTACATCTGGTGTAGAATGCGTGCTTGATCACTTTAAATTATATTCTTGTTAGGGCTTTATTATTTTGTTTTCATTTCATAAAATGTTTTTTTATTTATTCTTTTATTTTTATTTTTATTTTCATTTTCCAGTAATTTTATTGTACGTAATAATACAAAATAGGCGTACGTATTAAAAAAAGAACAACACATCATACTAACATGACAAATATAGTAAAAGTGAAATATATAAATTAAAAAATACAACGTATATTACATTACATTACATTACATTACATTGAAGCTAGCAATAATTTTAAAAGGCCATTGAACCAGTTTTGAATTTGGTTCACTTGGGATAGTTGGGATAACAGAGAATGGCGGTCAAAAATAGAACAAATAAAATATATTTGAGGCATCAATTCCCATTTAAGTTCTAATACTGACATAATCTCTCTTGAAATCTTATAAAATATAATGCACATGAAAAAAAAAAAACCTGGAATACCCCACAAGTCTTTGACCCCAAAAGAAACTGCGCATAGATTCCATTACTAGTCTGCGCAACTTACGACATTATATTATGTGAATGTCATAATGGAGACGTGTTATTACCACAAATAACCGTCTGTGTTCAGCGATACTGTCTGACCATGCTGGATACGAAATCGAGAAGAGTTGGGTTCTCGTTATGCTCTACTTCTGAATCAATATATTTATATTTTTTAATATATTTTTTAAATAGTGCTTGTTATAAACCCGGGAGACACATTATGTCAACTATACCTAAAAACTTAGTGAGACTATAACGTCAAATTTTCGTTTTCTAGTTCGTCATAACCACGTACTACCTTCATTTTCTCCATTACATACTTTCGTGTTATATCCCGCATACATCGGACTAAAATCTAAAGTTGAATTGGTTGTTTTTACTCTAATATCACTGGTTTATTGTGCTGATGTTAAGGCCTCTACATTTGACCTATGAAAATCGCGTTCTGTGTCTCTCCTCTGATCATCAACCACTTAGAAAGCGTTTTGATAAAACAGGCTATGTCGTTCTAATAACCTGATTGGCTGCTGATCCTGTGGGACATGAGACTGGTTATCTGAGCTTATTTAATTGGAATTTTTTTGTTATCTGATTCAGAATCATTTAATGGCCAGTTCCTAAACACGCTGTGACAGTTGTAGTACTTCTGCTTACAGATGCAAAACGCAAAAGCTGTAGTTGCGAGTTCGAATCTCGCGTCCCGTATTTCGCGTGAATTTTACCAGTTAATAAAAACAAAATTCACCTTGTGTAAAAACAAACAAAAACGAAGTACAAGCAAACCAGAGTAAAAATACAAAACTCGATTTACAATTGAATGATAAATAGATTCATTACCTACTGCACTTGGGTTTCATTCCAGGGAAAAGTTTTTGCTTGTTTGCTTTTGTGCCGGACGGGGCATTTACATGGACTATCTAACAATGAGTATATACCGTAAATTTTGCGAAAATCGCGGGTTTAGTCATTTTGACAATCAGAATAAATAAAAACATCACAAAAAAAACAAAAAAAAAACACGAAATTTACTAACAGGATTGCGTGTAATGAACTTGAATAGAAAATGAATTCATAAAATAGAATCGTGTTTATTGAAATAAATTGGAATTTATAAAACAAAATTGCTTTTCTGAAATGAAATATATAATCCATAAAACAGAATTGCGTTTTATTATATTAAATATTAAATATCTATTGAACAAAATTGCGTTTTATGATACGAAATATGGAATTTATAAAATAAAATATAATATTTTTTTCACATAATATTATGTGGCTTGATATAGGAGGGTTGGATTTAAATTCATGTAAAAATCTGTTACTTGAACTTCTTAAAATCATTACTATTCTGCCAAAATGTTGTTAAAACTTGGTTAGTTGGTTAATCTAGCGACACACAATGGCCATGATGTACATATACGCCCAAACACAAACATAACCGTAACTGTTAATGAAGGTGAACGTCACATAAATGTCGTAACATGAGTACACCGAATATGAACCAATGATATCCACTTCGCTGTTCACTCACATATGTGTATGATAGACAGAGTGCACAGCGACTTGCGTGTTTACCTCACGCTGTTTACGCAATTATTTTTAAATGTCGTTGCCAAGACGGCAATTGTTCTTATTGTACGACTACGGTTGCTGAATTCGGTTACCGTGATCCAGGGCACTTATTCCATTACCACGGGAGATATAAATATTTCACGACAAAGGCTTCACTAAATGTAAAGACCCGTGTCGCATGATAACAGCGAGATTTATTTCCAGTCCAAACGAGAATAGTCTCTCTTAACGATAATGTCATACTTAAACACACCACCGTGTTTTGACAGCGTTTGACGTGACGGAACGCGGGGGCAAGGTTACCGTCCCTCAAATAACGGTGACGTATGCTGCGTGAGTGCAAGCGATAGCGGTTTATTACAATGCGAACTTTGACATTATAGTATAGTATATGCAAATGAGGTACACGCCGAACACCGATCGGAGACCTCGTTTGGCATGTAGGTAGGTAATAATGTACCATCCGGGCTTATCTTACGTAAACCATCAAATGCAGAGTTCACTGGCAGAACACAGAAGACTGAAGACCACCAGAGGCGAATCATGTCGCAAGTAAACTGGAGTTATCATGGTGAAACAGGTAAATTGTTCGCCTTTGCTGCGCGGTGTGTAATCCGTTCCTCCAATTAGGACTTCATGTTAACTGCACTTTTTTAATTTAATAATTACGCAACGTTTAAAAAAATAGCTCAATGTACGTCACACCATTTCCATTAACTATGATTACGCTATTATATATACATATCCACGTATTAGTGAACGTGGTTTCTAAGGCATTACGCTTGAATATACGTACCATACGTTATATGATATTACAAATTGTAGTTCAATACACAAGATCGAATCACACTCTCACACAGGACCCCGATAGATTTTAGTGTATTCACCCGAAGTGCACCGTATCGAATTCGTCACGGTGTTTGGGGGTCGTAAAATCAAGGCTACTTGAACCACGAGCCGGTCTTTCCAAACGTTGCTGCCAGCTGCGTGCATTATACAGCGAAGTACGTGTTGGTTCGTAAAAGTGCAAAAATGTCTGGTCATAATCGGCCATTTTTAAATAACAACTAGTGTATATGACCGCTTTATATATAAATTTTGTAAATTTCATATTTTGTTTGCTGGTATATTTTTTAAGTTGTTAAAAAGACAAAACAAGGTACACGTCATAAATAAAAAATTGCATTAAAAATAAAATAATAAAACTAGAGGCCGTGCAATACATCAGGTGTTGCTTGAATTAGTTTTAAGGGTCATTGGGACAGTCATGGACACGGTTTGCTCGGGATTGTAACAGGAAATGTCGGTCAAGAAGCCAAACAAAATAGAGTCGAAGCGGCAATTCCCTCCAACCCATGAAATAAATTCACACGAAAAAAACAAACAAACCTGGAACACCCCGAATGCAACTGCGCATAGATTCCATTACGAGTCTGCGCATCTTACAACATTGCATTGCATTACGTGGATGTCACAATGGAGCTATTATCAGAAATAGTCGTCTGCATTCAACGATACTGTCGGTCGATGATGATGAACACTACACACATACTGCATAAACCACAGTTATGAAAACACGTACAATTCTAATTTGTAATTTATCAGAACAAATTAGAACGCGTAATATCGAATCCCAGAACGAGTACATATGCGTATATTGCATACGAAAGACATAACACGTGCGGTAATTATTTGACAAGTGCTTGTCTGCATGATACGGTCATTTTGAACAGGAAGACGTCTGGATATTAATTGCAAAGCGCAGACTAATAGCAGGTGAGTCTGAGATAACAAAACACGAACGGAATTATCATCATATTAAACTGATCGTGATTCTATTTTTGGTCTCCGATTAACTCAAGACCTAGTCAACCGCAACAATGTGACCCTATTCCATATTATTATCAGCTCTTGTTACTGCATGTCGGGCGGTTGCCATACTCGCTCAGCACTTACTGGGTCTTAGAAAAGTGATGTTACTTAGGCCTGGACTAATATCGAATCATACCTCTTTTTTAGAGATTAAATAAAAATCATATTTCAGGTTTCGCTTAAAGTCTAAATTTGTGGAAATTTCAGTCTTTTAGCTTTGACAGAACCGTATTATATAAAACCTACGTGCTTACAGCTAAACGAATTATGGATTAATGAAATATCGGATTTATTAACCAGAATCACATCTGAGTCGATAACAAAATGATTCTGGAGTGTAGATAGTCTTACCGAAGGGGATGTTGACATTACCTACCCAATATCAAGAGGCTGTAGCTTTTCGGGCTATAAATTATTGCCCTAACCCCTAACTCTATCTACATATTCAGGTTTAAAATTGGTTGGAATGAGGTGGACTGTAAGTATGTTCATATTGTATTACAAAGTTT